ACTTCAGTACAGTCATTTGCTTTTATCATTATAATTTAATGATTTTTTTTTCCCTTTTTATTTTTGTTTTTTAAAGATAATATACACAGAAAATATTAATGCATTGAGTAGAGTTGGTGATGTCAAACGCTGCTAATGTAAGGTGTATGCTTATGGCCATGAAAGTAGCAGATAATATTTTGTTTTCAAGCGCATATTTTTGATTGTATATTTTACTTGAATATTATGTATACATACATAGATACATACATGCATACTCACATACACAAACAGAGTCTGAAGAAAATAACAAAAATGTTATATGCTTATAGGCTTTGACATTTGTCTAATAGTATTTTTCCTCTATGAATAAAGTTTCAATTTTTTTTTTTTATCAAATGAAAAAAAAAATTGTTTTATCACTAAAACTATTTTTATTTTTAAACATTTTTAGTTTTTTAAATTTTGTAGTACATTTAATATTTTTATTAACTAGTTTTATGTTATAAATTATCATATATTAAGTAAGTCCAGCTAGTTGTAGTTTTAAACAAAATATTTAAATGTGAAACTTTTTTATTGAAATAAATTAATGATAAATTAAAGATATAACGTAAAAATTATTTCTTAGCAGGCAATACAAATAAGTAATATAAAATATGTAAAACAAAATAAAAATGACGTTAATTATATTGTAACTATAATAAAATAATTAAACGAATAAAATTTGTTTTTTATTCAAAAAGAAAATTTGAATACGTAATTTAAACGTATACACTATACGTTTATATTACATCATTACTTATATAATTATACATTAGTTCAAATATTAATGCATGAGGTAACTCAAAATATTATCACTAATACATATAGTTTTATTAAACTAAAGATGATAAATATAAAATACTATTATGCTAGTTATTGTATATTACAAAGAAATTGTTGAAAAATAAAATCGATTTTATTAGCCTCATAAATCATAATTTTTTGATATTTTTCTAATCATCATTAAATTATTAATAAAAAAATAAATATCTTGATCGTCATATATCTTTTGAGCAATTATCGATAATTAGCATATATTGTAATTTGATATAATGTCGTTTTTAACAAAATATGAAAATATTAGTACCTAATACTATTTATATTACCTTATTTTAGTGGGATTATTCTATCACTAACCATTGAACAAGTTTTGAAATACTATACAATTACTTTATTGCTATATGAATGATTATTCGATCAGATTGAATTGGTTTACGTAAATGGTTATTCGATGGAATCGATGGATAACGAATGACCAAAAACTATTTATTAAGCTTTACGCGAGTCCATTAAACAATTCGGTATTATTGGAGTCTGGATAATGGAGTGGTTTGTTATCCACGATAACTGCATTTAAACTGCACATTGATAAAAAAAAAAAAAGTCATATTATTTGGAACAGTTCAATGATATTGCTTAAATTCACATTGGATATAATAACTCAAATACTTTGTAGCGGAAAGCGACATTTTCAGAGTTTATCAAACAATTTTACGAATTATTATTACGTATTATTATCGTATGATGATATTAAAAAATCAATACTAATGTTGGTTGGGCAATGATATAATATTGTACATCGATATAGTTCCGATTTTTCCAACATGCTTATCGATATAGTTAACATTATAAGCTATAAAAAATGTAATACTAATATAGAAATTTAAAATTAAATTATATAATAATTTACATTTCCTGGGGACACGTACACAAACTTTATTAACTGAAAAATATTGTTACTTATTTATTATTAGTTAATGGCTTATTACACAGCACACATAATACAATTTACTAAAGCTTAGAATCTAAAAATATAATGTGTTTCTAAAAAAATTATTAAATTTGATATTGCGATATGCGATATATCATACAATCATAGAACGATATCGGTGTCGAAAATGTGTCATTATATTGATATCGTATTGAATTATCTATGGCGTTGTCTATCACTAATCAATACTATCTAATAAAGCTAACCCTAATAGTTAAAAATAAAATTCAATGAAGTAAGACTATAAAAAAAACTAAAATTAGTCAATTATTGTTATATATTTTTTGCTTACATAACTATATATTAAAAGTACTAATCTCTATTCAGGAAAGATAGTTTTTTATGGTTCATTTATTCCATTTAAATTGTAAGCAGAAAAAAAAATATATATAAAGATTTTCAGTAATTTTTACATGAAATAGTAACCTTTGTTCTATTTCAACACATGTTTGCATTATAAATGCACTGTTTGTCGTTTATGGTTAAGTTAGATAAGTCTGTTGGTTTTAAATTTATTGAAGACACATTGGGGCTTATGAACATATTGAAGAATCGTGACTGCACTTACAACAACCACGTTAGTGATTACGTTTAGTGCATATTAATATAATAAATGAACTATTTGTAGGTTATTAATTATCCACGTGATACACTGTACACCAATCTATTTAATATTTTACTATTGCATGGGTTGCAAATCTAATAAATATAATATGTTTTCAATTTATTTAAACGATTATGTTTTTGAAACAATTATATTGATGTTTTAACATATTATAATATTATGTTTCTACGTATAATATGTATGTAATAAGCACTTGAATATTATTTATGTATAGTATGATTACATCATATAGTGTGCTCATGCATTTTATTCACATATATTCAAACATTTTTCTATGGTTTTCAATCAAAATATAGAATATAATATTCTATGATTTTAGATCAAATTTACGAATGTATTTTATTATGTAAAAATATATAATTAATGAGTAATATCAATATCAATTGAATAAAAATAAGATGGCTTATATTTATTTCATATAAAATGTTACCTAATTATGATAGTATATATTTACAAATTGATGCAAATAAATTGCATTCACTTCAAAATTATAGTTATGCAAATAAATATTAACTTTTTTTGTAAACTATTATTTTTTTAATTTTTTTTTTTAATATAAAACTCCATTGTAGATAATAAAACGTAAATATATAAACATTTTAAACATATCATCTTGTAAAGTATGTGTAACGGAGCAAAATGCAAATACATTTCTCATTCTTATTTGCTGCACATGCATAATATAATACCTATTATATTATACCTATACCTATGATACTATATTGTATGCTATTTTTAAAGTGTCTCTAATTTAATATAAAATTTAAATAGAAATATAGCTGTAGGTTAATATAATAATTTTTATAGTCTTCAACGAAACAGCAATTATGTATTATATATTTAAATGACTGAAATTCATTCAAGCTTAATTTAATTTAACGATAAAGTAGTTATATACCTATTAACAATAAAATTACTAGCTATATGCCTAACCTATAATAATATTATAAAATAATCATATTTAATTGCTTCGACAGTACATATAATCATATTTAATGTATGATAATCACTTTGTAATAAATTATTTTAAACATTTTTTTCACGTAATTACTGAATTAATTATAAATAAAATACTTTCTGTTTGTATATATCGGGGTATATACTAAGTGATCAAACAATACTCATTATTTAAAAATCTATTAACATTTTTGAAAATATTTTTTTATTGTTATACTTTTTTAAAGTATTTTTACTCGTTCAAATAAAAGCATACATTTTTTATTTGATATTTAGAAGTAGAATATTTTTCGGAATATTTTGATACATAAAAATCGAAATTCAGACAAGTAGTTTATGAGTAATAAGTATTTAAAGTGCAGTTGAGCGGAGTAGTAGACCGACATATTGCAAAGTATCTCCATACCACTACACTCGGCTCAATTTAATTTTAAATACATATTACCCATAAACTGCTTATCCAAATTTCGATTTTTATGTATCAAAATACTCTACTTAAGAATATTAAATTTAAAATGTATGTTTTTATTCAAAAAGTATAAAAGTTTAAAAAAAAATTGTTTCAGTTCGAATGAAAATTATGTGAAAAATATTTTTATTGAAATAATGAGTATATATTAACTACATTATTCTAAACACTACACAGTAAAAAATTACTGGCTTACTTTAACATCATCCACTTAAAAAAGTGATAAAAGAAAAAAATTTAAAAGGTGAAGAAAATTGTATTGATTTATTCACAGCATACAATAAAAACTTTTTAGTTGCTGGTGCCTGATTTTAATGCAAAACTAAAACTATAATGAAAAAATAAAATTTTAAAAATGAAATAATTGTATATTAAAAAAAAAAAAATACTACAACCAGAATAACTATTTTTATTTATTAATTCTAATTATTTCTTTTATAAATTCAATAGTAATTTTAAATTTAATGGAGAGTTTTTGATAAACTTGATTTTAAAATTATATGTATTATTTTGTGTACCAAACGTAAATAGTTATTTCGATTTTTTTTAATATTTAAATATTATTTTAAATAAATATATTTAATATTTTCTAGGAATTAAAAAAAAATCAATAGCTCTATATAGATATTTTTTTAGTAACGTTTTATAAATTATGTAAACAATTAAAACACAGACATTTATCTTGTGATTGTTTTTATAGTCAATGTTAGTTTCCAGTAAAACAAAAATGTGTCATCATGCATTAATTTGTCTCACATTAAGTCTTCACTAAACGTTTAGAAAGTAAACATTTGTGAGATTGTTTTTTTTTACGTTAAATAATAGTATAATATATATTTTTAAGGATTTATCATTATTTTTAATTTGTAAGAATAGGTGTGTAGAATAATTATCACACGTATTTAGGGTTTGAAATAATTACCTAATTCATTTTAAACTTTGTATTAAGTTGTGATTGTGCGATTTTAGATATTGATTTATATTGTAATGGAGTCCATGGAGGGACGGGAATACGTAATGAAGACATATGTTTTGTTTTTTTGTTTTTTTATTGTTAAATAATCTGTAATTATTTGTTTATTTAATTTAATTTACTCGGCACATAATAACTTACTTAATTAAAAATAATAAAAAGTTGTTATATTTTGTTGCAGGCTAATAGTGGAGGAATTAACGGGAATCGCCGTGGTGGAGGTAATTCGGATGCCTGCGAAAAACACGACCCCTGTCAACATGGTGGGATTTGCATATCTACAGACGATGGCCCAAAATGTCAATGTCGTGATAAAAATTTTGAAGGAGCCTACTGCGAGATAGGTACGTGTATATACTTATGAGTTATGACTATCGAATAAACGGAATTTCTAAGCATCACTTAAGTTGCTGACGATAAAGTAATTCTAATGAGGCCCTATAATATATGTTTTGTCATTATAATCTACCATGTAAATCGTTGCGTTCATAATATGTATTGTTATAAATGTATTTTTCATTGTTTTCACTAGCTTTAGAAATTATATTATATACAGGTACTTCAAAATGTAAATTCAAAGAAATAGCTTTCTCCCTTTAACACATGGTTTAGCTATATATAACATAATAAAAAAAAAAAGAAGTCTATAAATATCTCTAGCTCGTATGAAATTTTTACTCAGTAGTTTAATGATACCTAGTAATATTGTTTTTATACTAAAAATTTAATGTATTTTAATTACAAATGATTATATAATATTATAGTAGTATAATTTGGACAGTTATATCACCTGATCCTACTGATACACCTGATCTAGCTGACCCTATTGTTTAGTAATTAGATCGCTGCTGATGTAAGTGATGTATATTATATCCCTCCACCTCACCTCACTCATCACTGACGCCGCCACCACTATTGCCATGCTAAATTTTATTGGATATTCCTGAACGTGAGTTTTCAGTTTGAGTGTCAAAGCCGGTTAGGTTATAATTTTTGTGGAATACCAGGTGACTTTTTGAGCCGCGGACAACGAGATTTTCACAAACCCTGGAGAATGCATTAAATCCAAACGTACTTTTTTGACCTAACTGCTGACGCGGCAGAGGAACTTTTCCCCTTATCGGTCGTAGTGTAATCTATTAAAATAAAATAAAAAATAAAAAAACACTCATGAAATAAATCTAAAGAAAAACTAATTTCCCTATGTTATTATATCTATGATAATATAAAAATGTTATGTATCGTTTATGATAAAATAATTATCATATAAAATCTTTAAAATTAAATCTAACAAATGGTTTAACAACAGATGCAATGCTGGAATACACCAACTATTGTACTTAAAATAAATTTAATGATTTATACGAATCTTTGAAAGTTATATTCCGCCTATAATATTAAAAATAAAACTAACCTGTATTTTCAAATTCATCCATAGCTACCATGCAAATATCATCCGATAGAAAATCATTGACTAATGTATTTGAAGCACCGGCTGGTACATCAGGAACAAAAATTTGAGATGCAATTTCGATATCACCTTGGTTAACAAAACGGATAATACGAGAGGCAAACTTTATGACACTCTCTCGTGCTGGTTGAGCAACGATTGTTGCAAACGACCATGTGTATTTCTCATGTATTTGTCCGAGCTAGTTTTGAAAGTGAACGTTAACGCACAAACAGTGCACGGAAAACGAACTCCAACATGCTTTTTTTGATGAGTAGACAAATTGCTTTTACGCGTTGACGTGGATGGACATTGATCACAATTAAACATTTTTAAATTGTGTAAAATACACAGTGTTGAACAAAAATATAAACAGAAAAACAAAAACTTGGAAAAAATATTTTAAAGATTAGAGAGCAAAAAAAAAATATACGTGTACAACGGTTTAAGACTGTAGAAGGATTAAAGACGTGATAATAAAAATAACATCCTTTACTAATATTTAAGTGAAAATATTTTTATCGTTTTTATTATATTTCGATAATTACACATATTCAAGATGTCCTCCCCCTATTGAGAATCAATAGAAATTGCCATTTTCCCACGGGGATTTCTATACTTAATCAAATTTTTGTACATTATTTTCTCAGGTATAAGAGTCGAATAAGGAACTGTATAAATAGAAACTGTGATGCTAATGACATTTCAATGTCAATGATAATGATCATTTTTATTATATTTTAATCATTACACATATTCACGATGTCTAGCCTATTAAGAAATAACGGAAATTGTCATTTTACTAATGGGTTTTCTATACTTAATCACATTTTTGTATATTATTTTCCCACGTATAAGAGGACCGAACTATACGTTGTTCGAATATTTATTTGATTATGGGATATAAATATTATTTTATGTATATTATTTAGCATGCATTTAAATACAATAGTGTTGACTGTTGACTACATTTTAAATATTATGCAGTGTGATAACATTGATAATTAAAAATCGGGCGCGTAGGTGATATGCACGTGCGCAAAAAATTATAACATTTTATTTGATAAGAATATTTGTAATAACTGATAATGTCAGACACGAAGGTATTATGTGCGTGCGCAAAAAAATATATATCGGTTACGTAGCGAATCGGGTGGTAGCGTCGCTGATGGGTGTGGTAAGGTGGGGGAATATAATATACGTCATATACGGATCAGCGGTGAGCTAATTACTAAACAATAGGATCAGCGGGATCAGGTGACAGAACTGTCCAAATTATACTACTTACTTGTTATATATATTAATATGTTACTAGCTGTACTTCAAGGAACCTTTAAAATTTAACATTAGATAATAATTAATAATGGTATATTTTAGTTATATTTAGAAGTTAAGTAAATAAAATTGTTGTAAAAATTCAATTTTATCAAATTTACATAGGTTTTACATTAATATCCCGTTAGCATATTAGCATATATTTAAAAATCAAAAATAAATAACAAATTTATCCCAAACAAGTCAAAGTTAATATAGAATAGCGCATTAATATTTAACATAAATATAATGTTTTTCTAGAACGATTTTTTTTTCAAAAATATTCCATGATCACAAACTAATTATATATATTTTAATTAAAATAGGTATTACATATACATTTTTTTTATTTATTATTTGTTTTTTTTTTTTATATATATATATTCATTAAAAAAAAAAAATAATAAATAAATAAATACATTTTTACCTAAAAATGTAAATATTTATTTATATTTAATAATTATCACAACCTTCGGATAATATATAAAAAAATCTTCACAATTTTTAAATTATTATATAATACTACTTATCATATAATAGGTATTTGTATCAATACAATTTTTATGATTTACATTACCACAATCACTTTTTTTATATTTTACATACATATATTAATGATTGAATTGTCATTGTTCACAAATACATATGTGTATATAATTTCACACTTAGTTTGCTAAATATTATTAAAGACAAATAACACCATGTTGTATAGCCTTTCTGTTTTTACCGCTATTGTCCATCGTGCATTTAATATTTTAAGTTTGATTTGTCTCTGTCATCGTCTACATATATTTTAATCCTTTCACGCTTCGATGTTAGTCGTAATTTCATCTGGCTTGACGTTGCGATATTTGATAATGTGTTTGATTCATATGTTTTGTGTAGTCTTGCTGTTATCGTCGACCGGAAACACTATATTATACGTTGTCAAGTTTTTTGCTTGCTACTCATCAAGATTAGTTAATATTCTCCAATATTATTCGGTTAAGTTATCTATGTTATCTTTGCTGTGTATTAACATTACTATTCACTTTGTTTTAGTAACTGAAAATTCGTTATATATATTTTCCCTCCTTTATCTTTTTACATCATAAAATACATATATAAAATTATCCAATATATTTATATTCATAAAATAACTATAGCTGCATGTAACCCATATACTCTATATTTCTTTGTCCAAGATAAAAATCTCAACTAATTTCTTTGGTTGTTGATAATACTTTTGCGATCTATTCATTTTCGAATTTGTTATGCCCTATTTTTGGTTCATCGGGTCATGGATTGTTAGTATTTTTAGTCTAGAGCTGTTCAGAATATTGATATTATTATTAGTAAAAAGTCTCCATTTTCTGAAATAATGCTACGTGCTCGATCCAAAATACGCTTTTATATACCTCTGTAGAAACAGAAGTAAAATAGTCACATGCTTATAATTTGTTTTTTTAACTGAAGTATTTTTTAATGGGTGATATTAGCCAAAGCTTCATAAGTCATTTGTATATTATAAATATCTATATATTTTTATTTCATTAGTATTTATTTTTATTATAATTAATATAAATTATTTTTACTCAACTCTATCCACCCCCTACTATTTCTTTAATAATTAAAGAATAAATAACAATTATTGTTAAATATACATTTAAAGTCAAATTTAATCTAATAAATATATTCAAATATTTACAAAGTTCACTTCTTCTCTTATTTTTATGACAAGACGTGGTCTAAAGCTAAAAATGATTTTATGGTTTATTGGTGCATAATGATGCCGAAAAAATATAGGTCTTATGTGAAAAAAAAAAGCATTTTTTAGGATTGTATAATTTACACGAACGGAGGATTTTTAAAAGCTTAAATAGATTAAATCAAACAGGCAATTTCTGAAAACGCATCTATTACGTATTTACTGAAAGCATATTATTGCATGACAATGTTAAACGTCCGGGACTAAAGCCACGTTACTCTTCATAATTTTCGCTATTAACTGAAGGTTAAATTTAACGTAAGAAATAGACTCAATAAGCTTGAAAACGTTTTTAAGAATAGAAATTAGATACTAACTCGATACGTTATAACTACACAACTTGACTTAAAAATATACAATACAAAGCTAAGCTTTATTAATTTAAAAAAAAAGCTCAAATAAAACCACTAAATATGTGGGTGTCGGGAGTATAAACTAATTAACTTTAAATTACCAAATAAGAATAAACTATGTTCAACATAAGTAATATCAAAATTAGAATATTTAGAAAGAAAAAGAACAAACATGATAAAAACCAAATCAAAATAAACCATTTTAATATCATAAATAGGTTAGGTTAGAAAAGAAATTGGCAGTATCCACCAAATTCCCAATCGACTGAATATTAATTAAACCTAAATAAAAATGTAAATGATCAGACTACGACTATTTAAATTCTAGATTTTGAATATTATTAGAGAATATTTTATACATTAAGACAAAATGATAAGATAGAATTTATAAATCAAGATTAGACTAGACTTTGCTAAATGGTTAATTTGTCGTAACCACAGTTAAGTGACAAATTGTTAAACTGGTCATTAATAATGCTA